CTTCTTTTTTATTGAAAATAAGTGCTTTGTCATCAAATTTTACATCCACTAACAAGCTTTTTAGCAGAGGGACACAGTTTCTCAAGCAACCAGTCGTGCTCCTCGACGACTACTTCAGTTTGCAGTGAGAGATGCTGTCAGAACTTTGAGACCATCAGGCATGGTAAAAGAACCCTCACTGAAGCGTCTTCGTTCAGTAGTGTCTACATCCACTGAGGACACATCATTGGTTGATCGTCCTAGGAGGCTCCAGTCAATTGCAAGAGTTCCAAAACCCATGGCTACTGTATTAAAAGCTGTGCAAGAAGCTGCTGAAGATGTAGTAAAAGTTAAATCTTCAGGAAGCGTGTTTGATCGGCTTGGTCGTGATATGGATGCATCATTGACCACTGAACAAGTCACTGAATTTAGAGATGCTGTTGTTGAAGATGATGAATATGAAGAACTTAATGGAATTCAGGAGCAAAACCACTCAAACTATCCTCAAAGAAGCAAGTACTGTGGACATGCAGGGGCTATGAATATGATGGAGCATGAAGCTGGATTGACTTCTGATTTGATGTCTGATAATGAAGGTTATGATGATGCCAATGTTGTGGATCATAGGGTTATGGATGTTTCTCAAACTGGCACATCTTACGGAAGCAAGGGCGAGGATGCACTTATGTCAAAATACAATGTAGCTAAGGATCAGGATATATCTGTTTCAGCTGCAAACACTTCTCTTAAAATAGTAAACATTTCCGTGAATGTGAACACATGGAGGCCACCTCATTATGAAGAACCCAGGGATGCTGCAATGGATAATCAGAAATCGGTTCAGAATAATGAAGGAAATGCTGGGAGATTTGGTGCTAAGCTAATGAAGGAGGTTAGCAAGACTGTCTCAGTTGGTAATGGAAATGTAAGATACTCTTGTTTGCCTGGGTTCTTTATTCTTCTTGCCTTTTCCCTTATGAAATCACTTGCCATTCCTCCTTTGCATTGACTGATGACACTTTTTTTGTGGCGTGATGATGAACAGGCAAAACCTGCTGGTGATATTCAGCATGAACCTCAGAAGCCTCTATCATCTGCATCCGGTCAGTTCTATAGAATCTTCTAAGTGCCACTGAACCTGTTGTTCTAATATGAAATGAAATTTATGTGAGTTTTGTTGCGACTTATGGAGTTACCCATTTGGGTGTTTTTCATGGTTGACATCATCTCAAACTCATCTATGGCAAGACGGTCGCCATTCTGATACGTGTCCTGCTTGTTTCTTATGGCCATTTTTCAGTAATATTTAAATGAGGTTGTTTTGGATGATTCTTCAGGTCCATTTACTGCAGGTTGCCCCTTAGAAGATGCTGATTCTCGAACCATTTTTGTTAGCAATGTAAGTGCTGATGTGCATCAAGCTGTAGCTTTGAAGGATCATTCATCACTGTATTCTTGTAATATTTTCACCGCTTTATTCACAGGTTCATTTTGCTGCAACTAAGGACAGTCTGTCTCGGCATTTTAACAAGTTCGGTGAAGTACTTGAAGTGGTTATAGTAACTGATTCAGCAACAGGACAACCAACAGGGTGAGTTGTTTTACACTAGTCAGATCTGTTTCCTTGGCAATTTTGGGAATTGATTTTTTTTGGGGCTAAGTCAACATGACTATGCAGGTCAGCTTATGTGGAATTTATGCGCAAAGAGGCAGCGGACACTGCATTGTCTCTTGATGGCACCTCATTTATGTCACGTATTCTGAAGGTGATGAACATAGAGACCATCTTAATTTGCTACAAGCAGTGGTCGTTTCTGTATTGTTTTTTTTTGCTTGCATGTCTGTCAGCTGAGTAGTATGTTCTGTGCACTTTCCTTTTTTTCTCGAACTTTGTTTATTGGTTTGGTAGATATATGAAGTTGCCAAAATTTGAAAAAGTTAAATCAATGGCTGCATCAGCTTGAAGATTTTTTTGTTATGATGTCAATATTTACTATGAAAAAAATGAACCATGCTCGTGTGCTTTTGCTCCTCATCAGCTGTGACTTAGTAGTGGTTGTTTTGCAAGTTTTCTTGCGGCCACTATGTGTGCTCTTCTCATGCATGTGGGGGCTTGCAAGTCCCTGTGTGCCTGCATGCATTCATAAATGAAAAGTATCGCAAAAGTACATGGAATGACTCCATGATTGAAAGTTGTTGAGATTTGTTCGGTTGTATATATTTTTATAAGGCCTGAGTTCTTTTACAAGCATATATTGAGCAATCAAGTTTGAGTGCTTCTGATATCTTAGGAGCTTTAGATGATTTTAATAGGTAAAATGATAATTGTTCAATGTGGTGTTGTTTCACAGAAGTTACGTGGTCCAAGCTGGTAGAGTCACGCATGCCTGCTTGTAGATGAAGTGTTAAAACTGCAGTTTTCAATTCCCATTGATAACAAGGAAGCATCTTATTTTCTAAGGAGCAACCAGAACTTAAAGCATGCTTTCATTTTAGCTTGAAAGGATGGTAGCTATGATTTAGATTTCATAAGCAATTTGTTGGAACCGATGCACATTTTATTACTTTCTTAGGAGGCATCTTAACTATATTTTTGTCATGCAGGTCATGAAGAGAAGCTCTTCCAACAAAGAAGCTAATCCTATTACAACATGGCCCCGCATTGCCCGTGGATCTCCGTATACTGCTGGTAGGTTTTCTAGAGCGGCTTTTCCAAGAGGCACTCCTGCTGCATTTAGGCCTTGGCTCCATGTGAAACCTGGTGTGAGAAGTTTGCAGTGGAAGCGAGATGCTCAAGCTACTCCAGCTGGGAGTAGTGCTGCAGTCTCTGGCAGCAGTGTTATCTCCCCTTCTGCCCGCAGTCTCACCTATGTTCGCACAGAACCAAAACCAGATCGGTATTCGGGTACTGCCGGAGTTTGATAGCTCATGTTTTCTTTTCCCTGAACATCCAGATTTTGATAGTTACAGGTTGCATAAAAATGCCTGAATCGTAACTCTGGCAGATTTTTTGGTTCTAAGAAAGAGATGAATCCACAGATCCTCATCCTCGGATGAAGATTTTTCTGTACATGGAGGCATATGCTAAAATTAGCGAATACTTGAGGTGTAGTGAATAAGGAGGGTTTCTTATAGCAAATATTTTGGGGTAGTCTTTTTTTAGGGGCTGGAATTTGCTGGATCTGAATGGGAAAATACCTGGGAGGCTGGTACTCTCGCAAAGCTGTCCCACCCGAGTTACATACACCATTAGATTTAATTTTGTGAATAGGAAGGATGCGTAGACGATACGATTGTCTTGAGGGATTTTATTTTGTTCAGTTTTTTTTTTTAATTGAAAAAAGAGAGTGAAAAAGAAAACAAATAAAAAAATAAAAAGAATTGACTAAGTTGCTGTTGTTAGAGCATGTGCTCACCTTCTCTTTAGTGTGTCCAAAAATCAGGAAAAAAAAAAAAAGCATCGGGGGTTTTCGTTGCTTTGCTTTCATGTTATACTTGAAGATCTCCTAGGTTGGTTGGTGAACATGTTGCCAACTTTTACACAGGAAGGCGATATGTAGTCTTTAGTTTTCGCTTTGGTTGTGTTTTTTTTCATTGCGTGCTATCCATTAAATCAAACTTGGTCCAGGAAGCCATTACGTGAAGCAGGTGGGGAAATCATTCAGTTAGAAAAGCCCCTCGTATAATTCGTTGCCGAAACTTCGAAAGTTCCCGGATCTACAGCAACAGGTTACATCTACAATAGCAGTGGCACCCAAATAGGTGCCTTGCTGATCTCTTGCGTTGCTCCTATAGCCACTCTTCACGTTAAATCTGTGACAGCCCATCGCATGTGCCTCTACTTGCACAGTAGGATCGAGATCTGCTTTTTATTATACAGCAACCAAGCCTATGCCGTTAGATTAAGATAGCTAGGTGGCACCAGTATTTTACTTTGTACAATTCTTCCTCGGGGTTTTCATACAAGGCTGTTCGGCTATGAGAGTTTCATCCTACAAAACAGTCTCCTGGTGGGGTTCTTTGAGCAGGGAACAAAGTCGTAGCATCAAGGAGACCCCTAACATCATCCATATTCCAATAGATCATGTTAGGAGAGATCTGCAAGGTCAAGGGGCGTAAGTTCCATATGATGTTGCAAACTCACTCAAAAACGAGAATTCCCCATTAGATGACACCTTTTCAGTTTCTGCTCCTATCTTCAAGTGTTCTTTTGATCAGCAAAACATCTACTCTACGAAGAAAGTTTCTTCTTGTTGGGTGGCTGTATAGAACAATTTAGAATGAACGTACATGGTGCTTTTTACTTGAAGTGTGGCTGAATTTTCTGCAATTCCAAATTTTCTGGACAGCGTTGAGATTCAATTTCTGCACCTAAACCTTGATCGTCAGTAAAGCTTAACAATTACCATCAATATACGATGTTGTTAGAATCAACAATTCATGGATGGAACTGGTTTCTAGCAAATTTAAATGAAAATAGTATATCATTAAAGTATAGTTATCACTGACAGTTTAAAGAACATTCCTGCGTCACACACTAGAGCTAATGGCGGATGCAAGAAAACTTGTTCCAGTGTAGAAACTATTTAAACCTGTTTGGATGTTTGAACAACTGACTAACAAATGAACCAAGAGTCCAGACATGGCTGATATTATTGGATCAGCCAATGGACATGTCTAAGGGATTAAAAACTCAAAACCCTTATACCCATGAAGCTGAGTTGCACGAAGACTGAATTCCCAAAGGAGCTAGAAAGCATAAATCCCGTTATTGGTAGGGCTACAAATACAAATAATGACGATACCATTCAGACTTCCCTAATAGCTATCAAATCATTACTCCCATGGTCAAAATGGCGATGACGGCGAATCTGTTACATAAGAGTGGTATTCAACAGCAAAGCCCAAATAGACCTGGCCAAAAATAATAGGCACATTCGTACCCAAAATCGCGACCACCATGACAAGAATTTTCTGTCTGGGGCATCTTACGAAGTATAGCAAACACAACAATGTCAAAGACTCTTTAAGAAAATCTAACCATGAGAATCAACATTTATTATTATGATAACTGAGACTTGAAAAATCAAAATGGAAGAAATCATCTTGACAACGAAGTGATCAACAGCCCAACTGACATCCCCGCAATGCACAAAAAGGAAACCCCACGAACCCTCACAAAGAAGATATTCAAGTTTTTAGCAACCTGAAGTGTTAAAGTCAAAATCTGCAACCTTCCTAGCTCCTCCATCTTCTTAAAGAAGTACATTGGCTTCAATGATTGCCTCAACATAAAAGCCAATGTAAAAGGGAATCCGAAGGCCACAAAACTTTGAATTGACACCTCAGTCATGGGAGTTGCTTTTGTAACATAAGAAATCAAGGCTCCGAGTCCTAGTTGAACCAGACCCAGCACAGCAACAGCCCTGCTCAGACCATAAATATTCTTCATCATACTTTCCAAAACCTCTCTGGTCTCATTGGCTAAAGCTGAGAGATCCCTCTCTACAGTTGGTCCCTCAATTTCTTGGTGTTTGAGATCAGGGATTTGGCTTGGATGCTCGCTTTGGTTTTGGGACTTATCGGATTCTGATGGTGAATTTGAACTTGAAAAATATCTGGGTTTAAGGTTCAACAACCTAATAAATCTAGGATTTTTCAGCTCACTATCCAAACTAGAATCCTTGGATTTTGTAAAAATAGAACCTTTTTTATTGAAATCAGGGGTTTTAGCTGGATTTTGGGCTTTTCCAATAGCAGATGCGGAAAAAAAACTTGAACGAGTAAAGTCATGACCTCTGGTTTTAGTGCTAGAACGAGAGTACGATCTAATAAAATAGAGAGTAAGATTTGGGGGTTTTGGATCTATTAGTGATTGGTGTTCCAGAGTGGAGTAACGAGCAGGAAAGCCTGAAAAGGAATTAGAGATATTGAGATTAGTTTTTAAGGTTGGTTGTCGAGAAAGACTGGAATTAGAATCAAGGGAAGGGTGGTTTCGGGGTCCATGGGAGATCAAAAGGGAGGAAATAGACGAGGAAAGAGGGGGTTTTAGTAACTTATGAGAGAGCTTACGTGAGATCACCACGGAAGCCATACTGGTGTGGTGTGCTCTAAAATCTAAGACCAGAAATCTTGTAGTGGCTATTGATTTGCAGTGCAGACATACATCGGGTAGCGATGGTGGTTGGTGGAACGAATGGATTTTGACTTGTTGCAGAGCTTGAGGCCATGCCCGATTCTCTCTTTTTCAACCAATCCAGCCCAACCTAAATCTTCAGATTCACTTTCCCAAGAACTTATTCAATTGACGAGGTTCTACTGGTAGTAAATTATAAAATATAGCGACACCCGCACTCAAAACGTTGGGCCGTGGAAACCCTAGAGCCCGGAATTGAAAACTGAGCTTCGTTTATAGAAAAGCCATAAGAAACTGTCGGGCTCTAAGATACTTGGGCCGACTCTTGTTTTCCATTTGATACTCTCGCCTCCAATGTTCTACTTCGAGTAATTTCAAACTTTAATTTTTGCTTAGATTTTCTAGGTTGTGAACAACACTTTCGATTTCTTGAATAGCATCAGAAGGTCATCCTAGTACCAAGCTACGAAGCAATAATCAGGGACTCGAGTACTTCATTATCCAGCGAAAAATATTGTAACATTTTCATAAAATACATTAAAGTCACTACACAAACACACATTCTAGCTACGAAGAGTCTAATGCAGGATGACCCCAATACATAAAACACAAGGGAAAATCCAATTGCAGCAACCGAAGCCGAATAAGAAACAGCGCAGCCATTAGCCATTGCTGGCAAGGGAGCCGGAGCATCATCGAAAGCAAGGACAGTGATTTTTGAGCACACCATTGCAAGAAGCACAAGAGAAGAACCAGAAGAAAACTTCATACAGGCCATTGCCAAAACTACTTGCTGCCCAGAATAAAACTAAAAATATACGGTATCCTTGCTAGTTGCTACTTCAATGCGGGTTATTAATAGACCTTGTGATTACAGGGAGATATGCCTGGGAAGCCCATTTCATCTCTCAACGCATGGTTCGCATGCGTGCACCAGGATGAGTCCAGGAGGCAGCAGACTGTAATTCGTGTGAATAGTTGATGACGGCACGTAATGTAATGTTATCATTGTTTAGGAATACAACGCAAGCTAAAATTTAAATTTTTTTTATTAAAAATTAAGTTTTTATATGTTTTAGATTGTTTTAATATACTCATTTAAAAAAATAGTACTAATTTTAAAAATTAATTTTTTTAAAAATAAAAAAATTATTTTAATATATTTTAACATAAAAAATATTTATCAGGAATACATTTATAAGCAGACACTTAATTGTCTCCCAAGGAGCGTGACACAAATTCCTTTGTTTTCATTGATTGCACAATCCCCTGTGAGCCTGGCGCCCACCAATAAGCTGTCCTTGCACAATAACGGTGTTAAATTTCAGAAAGCATGTGCCGCAAGTGTTAGGGGCTTAAAATGTTGTTTTTTAAATTATTTTTTATTTAAAAATATATTAAAAAATATATATTTTTTTAAATATTATTTTTAATATTATTATATTAAAATAATTTACAAACACAAAAAATATTAATTTAAATTTTAAAAAATAAATATATTTTTTTTAAAATACTTTTAAAATATGAGAATAAACAGTTCCAAGTACAATTTAAATCTCGGAGGGCATATACTAATTCGTTTCACACAGACTGACAATCCAAGAAATAGTAACACTTAATTAATTTACATGAAATCTGATAGAATATTTTTTTTAATAAAAAAACCTCAACTATATGAACGAATGATAAGGCAGTGTTTTAAGAAATAACTTGAGTTGGCCTCCATTTTTTTAATATTAATAT